ACAGGCTAAAGGAGAAAAGCCCTGAGAGAGATGTGTCCATTACAATGGCTGGTATTGAGTGTCTGTATGTCTATATCGGATATTCAGTGGGTTTAACAGAACTCAAAAGATGCCTGCAGACAAGCTGATTTGCAGCAAGATCGAAAATCCATCCACAAGATAAACCTCTGGAGAAAGAACTGAAGGACTTGAATAGGTCCGAAACTGTACACACAGTAATAGTATTATTTATCCAGGGATTCTCACAATGGGCGACCTGACAAATGCTTAATGTTTTGGCTGAGTTCTGCTTCATAAATATTTATTGAGCACTGAGCTAGGCTCTGTGGGAAATATGTCAAATGTGACTCTGCAGTAATGTGACTGATTTTTAAAAAACATGAATTCCAGAATTAATATATTCAAGTATGTGCTCTTCTTTGAGAGGTTAAATGTTTTTCCAGGGATGTTTTCACTACTATAAAATTTTCTGAGTCCTCTCTTAGAGCTTGCCTTCAGCCTGTAGCATAGTTAAAAAAAATATATGTATAATGTGTGTGTGTGTGTGTGTGTAATCTATATATCATATAGATTTAATTTTTAGAATTAGCTAAAAGTCATTTTGGTGCTAAGTCCTGTGATGAGTTCGGAGAGCAAGCAACATGGATAATATTCTGTTTATCTAAGATGATATGTAACTGGAATACTGAGTTAGATTTTTTGGGGTGAGGGCCATCAATTTCAAAGGAGGAGTTCCACTGATATTCTGCGAAATGCAGTATTAGTGCAATAAGTTAGTCTCTTGTCAAAAAGACCCTGAAGGAAAATTCTCATTTAGATATAAGAGCTCTGACATGTTTATAAAAAAAGTTCTTAACTTCTTAGGTAGACAGCCATGCCTAAAAAAAGGCTGTTCATCTTCAGGAATCTTCTGTCTTGCTGGAAAGGTGGCATGGAAACAATGTGACAGTTAGAGAGCAGGAGTTGGCATTAATTACTTGGCGCTGAAACGGGGCTGAGGTGATCATGTGACACAGGAAGCTGGGGTGGCAGACCGGGCTCCTCTTTTCAGCCTGATACCCCTCCCCCCACAAAGGTATAGATTATCTTGCTGTCAGAATTTCCCCTCTGCTTTTCCCTTTCAAGTTTTGTCTTGCTATTTGTTTTATCCATAGTAACTTAGGAGAAAAGGGTGTCGAGTGTGCCTGTGTGTGTTAGATTTCTCCTGGTTCCATGGTATCGCAGGTCTAATTCCAGAAGCCCAGAAGGAAAGCAATTAGCTGGAGAAGTTCAGGGTGGTTTCTTGAAGTGGGTGGGTGGGACTGGTTTGAAATAAGTTCTGGAGCCTGCAGATGACATGCATACCTTCAGTGCACATGAAATTCTAATTTGTATCCTGATGACATGTTCTCTGTCTAATGCATGGCGGCATCGTCTCTTGCGTGACAATGGCAGGGCTGGTGCTTCCGAATCTCCTGTGTCCTCACAGCAGACAGACAAATGCAGGAAGTATTCATCCAGGCTCACTTCAGGAGTCACCTCTTCTCTGAAACTTTCCATGACCCTCTGCAGACAGAAGTGTTCCTAGCTGATTTCCATCTCATGGTCCTTTACACAAACCTTGTGTCTTAGTCTGCTCAGGCTGCCCTAACAAAATACCATAGACTGGGTGGCTGAAACAACAGAAGTTGATTTTCTCAAAGTTCTGGAGGCTAAGTCCAAGAT